GTCATATATCTCATACCAACATTTACCTAATTATCGAAAATAAATGTCATATATATCTCATATCGACATTTACCTAAATGTCGAAAATAAATGTCATATATCTCATACTGACATTTACCTAAATGTCGAAAATAAATGTCATATATCTCATACTGACATTTACCTAAATGTCGAAAATAAATGTCATATATCTCATACTGACATTTACCTAAATGTCGAAAATAAATGTCATATATCTCATACTGACATTTACCTAAATGTCGAAAATAAATGTCATATATCTCATACTGACATTTACCTAAATGTCGAAAATAAATGTCATATATCTCATACCGACATTCACCTAAATGTCAAAAAAAATGTCATAAATTTCTTTTCGACATTCATATAAATGTCAACAAATAAATCTCGTAATAATCTTACCAACATTTACATATATGTTGCAAAGTAAATGACGCAAATTCATTTCAACATTTACCTAAATGTCACAAAATCTTCCCGACAATTACCTAAATGTCGAAAAAATCCCCGACACTAAAATATACGACATTTGGTCCAAATGTAAAATAAATGTTGGTAAATAAATTTGTGACATTTAAACATCATAATACGACATTTAGAAAATGTCGTTGTATCTCCACTTTCTTGTAGTGAGAGGACTATTCAAGTGTTAGAAGATATGTTGACGGCATGTGTGATTGACTTTGGAGGGCATTGGGATAAGTTCCTACCTTTGTGTGAGTTCTCCTATAATAATAGTTATCACTCCAACATTGATATGGCACCATTTGAGGCATTATATGGGAGAGGATGTAGATCACTCATAGGATGGTTTGAGGCTGGAGATGTGAAATCTTTGGGGGTTGATTTATTAAGGATGCTCAAGATAAGATGAGGAATATTCAAGGGAAGCTTTTAGCAGCCCAGAGTAGACAGAAGAAGTATGCGGATCATAAGGTGAGAGACATGGCGTTTCAAACCGGTGAGAATGTCTTTCTTAAGGTATCACCCATGAAAGGGGTGATGAGATTCGGCAAGAAAGGTAAGCTAAGTCTGCGATACATTGGTCCCTTTGAGGTTCTCGAGTGTGTGGGACCGGTAGCGTATAGATTGGCTATACCTTCTAATCTATCGAGTGTTCATCCGGTATTTCATGTGTCCATGTTGAAGAGATATCATGGTGACGGAGATTATATCATTAAGTGGGACTCAATTGTGTTAGACAAAGACCTCAAATATGAGGAGGAACTGATTGCAATTCTTGATCATTATGTGTGCAAGTTGAGGACCAAAGAGATTAAGTTCGTGAAGTTTCAATGTAAGCATCGTTCAGTTGAGGAAGCTGCTTGGGAAACTGAGAGAGACATGCGAGACAAGTATCCCCAATTGTTCGTCGATTCAGGTACTACTTCATTCCTTCCTTAGCCTATTTTTCTGAAGTTTGTCACTCGGGAACGAGTTATGGGTAAATTGGTATCTATTATAATGACCGGGTTTTGTCGTTGTATAAAAGCCAACGGGAAAAAAAAATTGGGTAGAAAAACTTTTTCGTAGTAACTTGGAATTTCCCAACCTAGTCCAGATTTGGACGAAATCAGAGTCGTTTAGGTGTAGGGAAATCTAGCAACAATCGGGTGATTTATTTATAATTTTGATTACATGAGGGTATAGATAACTCGTTAAGAAATCCGTACGACTTTACAGAATTGAATTCGGGCGAGTAAAACTCCCGAAATCGATCTTAGTGTGAAGGGGATTTTTTGAGTGTCGTTGATTAGAAGTTTGTTGTTAAATGGGGGTCTTGGAATTATTAAAATACCTCACTATTTCGTGCAAACCGCTTTGGCGCTGGGTTTATCGCTCTGGCGGGGACGTTATAGCGAAGTTAGGGCCATTATGGCGGGCCTGACGCGACTTAAAGTCTTAAATAAACCCCTAAACGACTTTATTCTTCACTTTTCAATTTTTAGAGCTAAGGAATGAACCCCATGCGACTCTTGACAGTTTTCCACCATTCTTGAGCCTAAAGGTAAGTTTTTCACTCCCCGAATCCATTTTTCGATCCATAGAACGTAATAGAATGGGTAATTATCGATGGGGGAGTGTTTTGATCTAGAATCTATGGTGGAAAAAGCTCTATTTTGGATAATTGGGATAATGGGTTTGATATTGGGTTCATAGAATTGCTAGTAATCCGGGTAATTAGTGATTGTTTATTGATTCCCGTATTATATTGATTGTTTGTTGACCAAAAACAAGCGGAACGAATCCGGAAAGGGAAGGATCAAGTTTCTTAGGTTTTCAAGCTTGTTTTGAGGTAGGTGAGGGTTGTGATTCTATGATTGTGTGATGTATGTGTGTTCTTGCTTCATTATGTAACTTTAATGTATGTGAATGTTGCATTATTGATCACTCTTGTTGTAAATGAGATAGAGGAATGATGAATGCCATGAATCATGACTAGATTGTATAAACGTGAGACGATACTTGTGATTGTGATTGTGGTGTGTTGAATGGATCGGTCTCCACGTTCTGGATAACTAATTGGGATCGGTTGCCACGTTCCGGCATAAACATTGGATCGGGTACCATGTTCAGGTATGCTAACTGTTTGGGTTTTAGTTCCATGAGAGGACCAATGACTTGTCCTAATTGTGTATCTTGAGAAATGTGAAGTTGTTCGTTGTTCATAAATGTTGATAATATTGTATATGTTCGATATATACATGTGGTTATAATGTTGTATTGACTTACTTATGTTACACTTAGTGGGATAGCCGCGTGATCCTACCAGTACACTGTGGTGGTGTACTGATACTGCACTTGCTCTTATTTTTGTTGAGTACAGGGCATCTTCCGGCGGCTATTGACAGACCTCGCTTAGAAGATCAGTGATCGTTCAAATTCAAGGGTGAGAAAATTCTTTCGGGCTGCCATGAGTTCTCTTTTATCTATGTCCACCATTTCGGGCTTAGACTTTTCTAGTTAGTTATTAGTTCATTAGTTGGGGTTGTGTCCCTTCTTGGTTAGACTTGTTGAACCTTAGATGTTTTGGTACATTGACTTTCAGGTTCTAGGTTATTTCTTCTGCATTGTTTAGTTCGTTGTTAGACTTTTGTTGGAGTTTATGGGAACTCCCTATTTATTTCCTTAGTATTGAACATGTTCATATCCTTTAAATGCCTTAGTTTTGGTTTAGTTGCTTGGTTTGGGTTATTCTAGTGGTTCTCCCACCGGAGGGTTAGTGTGGGTGCCAATCACGGCGGTCTGGGTCGTGACACTCTTTCAATGTCAAGCTTTGACATATAATTTTTAACTTCTTTTCGTATCATATCTTGCAAGACCATCAGAAATTTTGGGCTCAACAACTGTTTCTCTCTAATTGTGACAAACATTTCAACTCTGAGTTCTTGAAATTTAGGGCATAAAATTTGATGGAGTGGGTTCACATGCCGATACAGGTTCTAGTTGAGCTATTAGATCAACTCGATTCACTGAATTCAAATCCTTGGTAGATCTGAAAAATCCAAGTAAAGAGAGACTCAAATGTGTCGATGGATCGGGCATATTTGGTGGAACTGATGAAATAGTCAAAATTTCACCAAGTGGAGCACTGATATACCGCGATTTTACGGTATTTTTAATATATTTCACTTAAGAATTGTGTGTCTAGGGCCTTTTTGAATTGGTTTTTATGTGTTTTTATCATGTTTTGCAGGAAAGATGTTTGGGCGCGGAAGTAAAGAGACAGCTGAAAGAAATGCAGAAAAGGGCATCTACGGACCATAGGTCCATTGACGCTCCGTATATGGTGATCGTAGATCAACAGGGCAAACCATGGAAGGAGAATCAGGGAATCTGACCAAGTGTGGAACAACGGTGACCATTGACGGTCCGTAGATTGATCTATGGACTGTACTGCTGAACCGTAGAATGTGAGTGCAAGGGTTCCAGTACCTGATTTTTGGAAAATTCTATGTATGGAGCTATGGAGAGGGATCGACGGACCGTAGATCGATCTACGGTCCGTACTGGTGTTCCATTGTTTGCTTCAGAGAAACTGAGTTTTGGAAGCTGAAATATTTTCTAAGTTTTGGCTGACAGAAGGAACTCATGGACCATAGATCCATAGACGGTCCCTAAGTCAGTCTCATGGAAAGAAGATGCATGCCTGAACAAACTTTCCTTACTTTGTTTCCCTTTTAATTTTGGACTTGTTTTCTATAAATAGGGTATGTAAACCTTGTTTTTGGGGGTTAGACTTCATTACTTTTGTTCTATTTTTTGGCTTTGGAAATTAACTTGAAATTGTAGCAATTCTTAATTTCCTAAGCAAGTTTTGGTGATTTTTACGTAGAAATTCAAGTTGAAATTCTGGGATTATTCTACTCTACTACGTAAGTTCATGATTTATTCTTCAAACATTATGAATTATTTTTTTGCTAATATCGGTAACTAAATCCACAACTAAAGTTGTGGGAACCATGAGCGATTAACGAAGTATGAATAGTAACTAAGTAATTCCCGAATAGTGTTTTGCATGCATTGATAATTTTTTCATCTAGAAGTCTTTTTAACGGTGCGCAATGTTAGAACTCGCCTTGTTGCTACTTGCCGGACCAAGGAGGTAGTTAATAAGAAAACAATTATCAACATAGATTTAGTGTGATACTATCTAATAGAATAAATGTCGATTGGTGTGAGGGTGAAAACTAAGTCATACATCGATGTGATGTCT